TGTCTAGGCATTCACAGGGACCAGGGTAAGGTGACATCTGTGGTCACAGGTCTACGTTGTGCAAGCGTTGGGTACGCCTGTGTCCATGTGCTTTCAGTCTGTGCCCATGACCTGAAGTGGGTGGGCTGGGAACATGTCTGGATTCTGCATGTGTCTCTGTTATGCATGGTAGCATCTCCATGCTTTGTGTGCCTGCGCATGCCATTAGCTGCGTGCATCCCTCAGATGTGGGGCGTGTCGTGCTGTCTGCAGAAAGGGTATTTCTCGATGGTGTGACTATCTGGGTGACAAGTTCTGCATCTGGGTGAGATAATGTGGTCTCTGGCTGTGGGTGTGGCTTATGGGGCGACCAACCCGTGAACCCGAGTGCACCCCTTGGGTGGGCTTGTGTTCCTGTGTGACATGTTTTGTGCATCCATGTAGGTGTGGGGGTATCTGACTGTGCCCCGTGCTGTATTTGCACATCTGTGTGAACCAGGTGCCGTTTGCTTCTGTGATTTAGAGGGGTTCCCACAGTCACCAGGAAGTCCACCCTGGCCCCATAGTGCTCACAGCAGGACCCAGGCCACTCCAGCGATACCTCACTCCTTTTTACAAACCTTGCCGCTCACAAAAGAGCCTTTCAATTTTACTTGGAATTTAAAAGGGAAGGAAGCTGCACCAAACTAGGGATGAAAAAAGTTTACTGTCTCCCCGAGCAACCACTGCCCTTGTGCCCACCATTTGATTCACTCTGTCCAGGTTGCCATGGACACTGCAGGGGCTCAGGGGGCCTGTGGCCACTCCCTCCTTCCACTCCCAGCTGCCATGCCCAACACCTGCTCCTCAGGGACAGGGAAGGAGGAGGCCTCCACAGGACCCTGAGGTCCTCCCTCTTGACCTGGGAGGTGGCCACTGAGATCCCCTGCCTCAGTTTCCCTGCATGCCGTCAACAGGACACCGATGCTGATCTCACCTCCACTCCCTTTCCCCACAGATACTGTGGGGTTTAAAGGGTCAGAACAACTTTGCTGACTGCCCTTCGGCCCAGCCCACATGCCACAGTTCTGGCCACAGGGGCGGGCACCACCTGCAGCATGGGGACAGGTGGGCAGCAAGGAGAGATGGTGCTGCAGGACCCCAGAGCCCTGGACCAGGGATCTTGTCCCAGCTCCATCACTGATCTGGGGCCTTGCGTGCCCCCTCTCTGGGCCTATTCTCCCATCTGTGATCTCCAGGCTCTGATGTTCTCTGTGGACCCACCCCCAGCAAGGCCTCGAGGTTATCCTCAACCAATCCCTGTCTCCAGGGGTGTCTCACTCACACCACAGCAGACAAAGGACAAACACCAGGCTCCCCTACCTGCTATTCAGGGGCTTCCTCAGACGCAGGAGGGAATTTTCTTGACTAACACAGCCCCCCACCCCCACGCTACAGCCTCAGCCCTGGCAACTGTGTCCTAGCAGAAAAGGGACCTGCTACCTCCCACCTCTTCATCCCCTCCTTTCCTTCCCCTGCCAGTAGCCGGACAGTGTTAGCCTCATTGTCCATCAGAGGCTGGCATTTAAGAGGCAGCCCCCAGGGGCCTGACATTATGCCAGGGGCCAAAAAATGAGAGGTCTAAACTAGGAGGGGGCTGGCTCACGGGCCTGTCATCAACCATGTGGGACTCGGGCCAGCCTACCCTCCACACCCCCTGCAAACCCTGGGAAAGCTAGCTTTGCACCGTCCCCAGTGCTAGGGGCCACTGTGGGCTCCCCATGCTGCTCCTCTGCAAGTCCCAACAAGTCAGGGGCTTGTCCAGGCGGGCAGATACCAGGACGCTGGCACACTCCACAACTACATGCATAAATGCATATCCCAACGTGGGTGTGCAAGCCCCTGCATGGACAAGCCTGGCTCAGGGGTCCTCAGCTAACCCTGGCTCTGCCAATACCACCCTGCGGACTATGGGTCAACTTCAATCTCTGGGCTTCAATCTCCCATTTGTAATATCAGAAGGTCATGTCTGAGGTCCTTCCAGCTTTCCAGGGGCCAGCTGCCCCCTGGAACTCCTAGCTCAGTTTTTTCTCTTCCCATGTCCAGAAAACAAAACTGCAATTCAGAGCCCTGGGCTGGGAGTCAAGAGACCTAGCCTTAACCAGTTGTGTGACCTCAAGCATAATGTTTTCCCTCTCTGAACCCTTTGTTATCTCCTCTTTTATAGGAGCATCATAAAATGGTCCCAACTTTGCTGCATTAAATGTAAAGCACCCAGCATGTGCCTGGCATACAGCAGGTACTCAATAAATGGCAGCAGCAATTATGACTGTAACTACCACTCACACATCTCCCATCTGCACACAGACTCCCTCCCTCATGCAACCCTCCCACCAACCTTCAGCCACCATCAACAAGCCAGGGTTACCTCCCAGGAGCCCAGAGGCCCAAAGGAGACAGTGCACCAAAACAACCTGTACCCCAGCGCTGGCCCACACCACATCCCACTCCAGGCCCTGGGACCCCTGCAAGCCTGCAGTACAGGTCCTGGGGGATGTGAATCCTATCTGGACTTGGAAGCAGGCCTGGTTTCTCCTTCCTTCCTTGGCTGAGCCTCACCACCACGGTCAGGGGCGGCAGATCCTGTGGCTGTGCCAGATGACCTGTGCCTAATCCAGTTTGCCCCAGTGTCCAGGCACTGTTGGGTGGACCCCAAGGCCCATGTAAATGGGAGCACAGGGAGATGCCTAGAGACTCAAGGGGTGGCAGGGGTGTCTAGGGGTCTTATTCTCTGAGTCCCCAAGCAGGCCTGGACAGATGGGAATGAGATAGCCCTGGTGACAGGCACTTTATTCCATTACCTCATTGACTCCTCACAACTCCACATCATATTACCATCCAACCACAGAAAACAGAGTTGGAGAGTGGAGTGATTTGCTCAAGGCTATTCAAGTTGAAGTTGGCAGAGCCATAATTTTGAACCCAGGCCAGCCTGACTCCAGATCCACCTACAGTGCATGGGCCTGGCCTGGCTGTCTCCCCATCCTCGAAGCAAGGGAGCCCAGCTCTCAGCCCTGGGGCAGCACCCACCCTCTCGTTGACCGCATTATACTTGATGGCCAGCTCATCACGCTCAGCACGGCTCTGGGCCAGCAGGTCCTCCACGCGGGACAGCTCCTGCTGCAGCAGCTGGTTCTCCTCCTGCAGCGACAGCATTGATGCCATCTCTGTGGCTGGTGTTGGGGCTAGAGTGACAGTAGGCACATGATTAGTTCACACCTGGGTCCAGGGGGCTGTCCTCTCTCAACAGGTGCCCTACAAACATCACTGGAGGCAGGAAGGTGAACCAGGCCCCCGGGAGGAGCCTGGGTGGGAGTGGATGCAGCACCAGACCTCACAGGAAACAGGAAGATGGACAATGAGCCAGGCCTGGAGCTAGGCTTGGAGGAGACACAACTAGAGCCGGAGGCCGGCCCTGGCAGGCCCAGGGGGTGCAGGAGGGTAGGCTCGGGCCAGGAGTCAGGACACTAAACCCGAGGTTCTAGCTCGTTCCTTCTCCAACTGCTACTATTCTCTGGGACTCAGTTTTGCTGATCTATAATAAGAGTAGACCAGTAACCAGCCCCTGCCAGGACAGCAGGAAAACCTCACTTAAGGCAAGAGCTTCATGTAACCTCTGAGGCCAGGGCTTAAGACTGTGTAGGTCAGGAGGAGCAGGAGGAAGAAGAGAAGAAGGGAAAGAAAGGCCAAGGGAGAAGTGTCCCCCCCATCCTGCAGGCTCCCCTCCACTCCAGTAGAGCTAGATACACCCCATGGGCTTCTAGGCTTTTCCAGCCTCAGGTGAGGGCTCCCAGGGTTCTCAAAATCCCTGGTCCTCTCAAGGCAGTTGAGGCTGGACAAGGACTGTAGCAGGAGTGCCAGGAACACCACCAAGGAGAGCTGCAAACATACCAGCTGCAACCGAGTGCCCTTCCCAGACTCTCAAACCACACATGAGGTCATGGGTGCCGCCCACCAGGAGGCGCAGGGGGCTGCCAGCCTCCCTGCCTAGGCAGGGACTGGACAGTACCACCCCTCAGACTTCTGCAAAGCCCTGACCTGTAATCTCAGAGTCAGCCACCTCATACCTTCCCTGGGAGAGAATGGGACAGCGGGCTGCAGGCAGGCAAGGAGAGATACTCATCCCTGCCTTCTAGCGGCATCACATGGGGAACAAGTCCGGGCAAATTACACCTCGGAGCCTCCATTTCTTCATCTGTAAAATGGGTCCTTGCACGGTGGGGCTGTGCCTGCCTGACAGTGAGCATTCAGGAAATGGAAGCTGCGATCCTTGTCATTATGACTGTTGGAGAGGCAGGTATAAGAGAGCTGAGATGTAGGCAGTGCTTGTGGAGGTGACAGGCCGGCATACCTGAGCTCTCGGGCTGGGAGAGGTTGCGGGTGACAATCTCTCTGATGTGGGCAGGCAGGCGGGTGGGCTGAGAGTCCTGGGCCGGGTCCTGCACGCTCAGGCCCTTCTGGCCCACGAGGCTGCCCTCCAGTGTCTGCATGGAGGAAAAAGAGGGTCTGCAGGGTACCTGGGATCCAGGGCTCCCTGGTCTGGGTGGGAGAGGGCAAAGTCGGGCCACCCCAGATGTGGATGCCCGGAAGACTGTCAGGAAATCCACCAAATGGAAGGAAGCCTGGGAATTAGAACAGCGAACAGCCCCATGGGAGGACATTCTTGTTCGTCCCCCTACCCTGGGCAGGAGGTCCCCTCAAGGGCCAGAGAAGCAAACTAAACCCACTCGCAAAGCCCATTGGGGCATCACAGAGTGTTGGGGGCACCAATACAGCTCTGGCCCTAGATGAGTGAGGACCCCACTGTGCCAGCAGAGGTGACCACAACAATATATCCAGGGGCCCTTTCCCTCCGCCCGTAGGGCACTGGGATGAGAGAGGCCCAGCACAAGAGCCAGGTGGCCCCGTCCACCCCCGATCTGGTCGGCAGCTGTAAGTTGGGGGCCCTGTGCACCACCACCACACCTCTCCCACTCCTCTACCCCCAAAATGTGCCCACTCCTCACCCACTCCTGCTGGGCCCACACTCCCCCCACCCTGCACAGGGTGGGCACAGCCCACAGGACCCACCTGGACCACTGTCTCCAGTGCCAGCTGGGCCTCCAAAGACCCCTCCGGTTCCAAGCTCATGGGGGGAAGGCTGCAGGCCCCTCTCTCGAGGCACTTCTCCAGGGCCCCAGAGACTGGCTCAGCCTGCCCCCTCCACAGCAGGACCGCTGTGCTGAGCACCAGGCAGATTAGGCTTAAATCCGGCGGGGCCCTCACGTGACCACGGAGGGGGTGGGGCCGAGGGAGGGGGAGGGGCGGGCCGGAGGGGAGAGGGAAGCGAGGCAGAGGGGAACCGGGAAGACAAGGGATGAAGAGGGGGAGGGGAGGAGGTGGGGAAGGAAGGGAAAGAGGGGGGGAGGGGCGGGAGGCGGGACCTGGAGGTAAGGACCACCCCCCTACACACACACACCCTTCCCCCCCTCTGCCTCTCCCCTCCCCCTGCCCCCCTCCCTAGCTGCTGGGTCCTAGAGCCCTCCAAACCCAGTAATGGAGTCAGCATTCAGGAGGCCGGAAAGGCCAGAATCTTCAAGACCATCTTTGCTGACCCAGAGCAGGGGTCAGATGCATTTGTTAAGAATGAATTTACACGGTGCTGGGATGATGTTTTCCCGCATCAGGTGCACAGCCAAGAACTCAGGCTGTGAAATTGCCAAGACCAGGCGAGGAACTGAATCTCCCTCACCCCTGCTCCCACGTGCCCCAGGGAAGGCAACTTTGCCTCTCCGAGCCTCAGTGTCCTCTGTAAGATGAAGAGAATATTGGAGCTGTCTGAGGATTAAACAAAACATTGTATGTGCGTAAAGAGTGTGTGACTCCGTACCAGGCTCATAGTGTCCATTTGATATTGATTTCATTCATTTGAAAATCGGAAATGTACACACTCTGCAGCCCAGGGCTCCCGGGGCTCAGAGCCCCACCCCCCACCTCCCATTTTTCCTTTCCTGCAGCAAGGAGGCTGTGCAGCATAATGGTTGGGCCAGAACCTCTGGCGTCATTATCAGATCTGAGGTTGCATCTCAGTTCCAGCTCTGCACAAGTTACCTCTCTGAGCCGGTTTCCTCATCTTTAAAATGGGACTAGTAATAACACCTACTACATAGAGCTGTGGTGAGGATTAAGCGGGTGGGAAGGTGTAAGGGCTTTAGAACTGCGGCTGGTATGGAGTGAGTAATGGCAGCTGCTATTCTTGTCATCATTAGCATCATGTGTCTAAGTACCTGCTTGCTACCTCTTGACCCTCAGCCTCAGGATGCCTTCTGCTGAAGTATCTTGTCCCATAGAAGACATTTTCATGTAATTTCATTAAATCTCTACCTCAACCCATTTCCAGATGAGAAAACTGAGGCTCAGAGAGATGAGGCTCTTACCAGTTCAAAGCCACAGGAAAGTGGTTAGGCCAAAGCTCATTCCACTTAGGCAGGTAGCCTCCCAATAAGTGCCTCAAGGGCAAGGCCAGGCCATTGCACTTTAAGACTCTACCACTGTGTCTAGGTCAGGCCCAGGAATGCAGCAGGTGCTGCATAAATGCACATCAGTTCAGCCTGGGCCTCTCACTCCAAACTAGGGAATCTGCTCTGCAAATGGAAAACCAGGAAACAGGCCTAAAGATAAGTGCAACCAAGCTGCCATGGCAACCAAGGCCGATCTAAGCAAAACTAAATCCGGCCAGGGCAGAGCTGCCACAACAAAGCCCTGCAACCCCCATTTGCCCATCCCCAGACAGCCTCCAGAAGGCTGCCCTCTGCAGGCTGCACACCCATAGAGCAGCAGGGAGGTTCCAAACATCCCTAGGCCGGGTCTCCAGCCGGCTTGCCCAGCTTGGCAGAGAGAGCAGATGTGATTGGAAATGGAACTGAGTTACTGTATGCTTCCCCAGCCAGTGCCCTGGAGGACAGCAGGGAGGACGCAGGACTCCAGAACCCTGGGCACCGGGTGATCCTGACCCTTGGATCTGTCCACAAAGTTCTCCCCCTACAGTTCTACTGGGTTCTATAGATCCCACGACATCACGCTAAACCCTGTGTGTATGTACCATTCTCCAGCATCAGCAGCATC